GGGTATGAACAAAGGTCTGGTCCCTTTTTTGTACTCCATTACCTCATTCTTCTACCCACACAGGAGAAGATATGCTCATTTTTTAAGAGAACTGGGATGGGAGTTTACGAATTTGTCATTTTCCTACTACTACATATAAACCATAGTCATGAGCTCCAAAGCACCACACTTTCACTAGAATTTAAGTGCTTCATGATTTCTGCCAAAAACAGAATCATTACACATCCTCCCCTTTCTTTTTCCATGACTTTGTACAGCTTGGCATGATTATGAGGCAACCTTTTTTTTCTATTTTGGTTTTCAATGGGGAAACTAAACCATCGCGGCTTCCATTGTTGTGTTGGTCGAGTGATCATTCAAAGTTATAATGGCACTGAAAAAAAATGACTTACAACCAGAGATGGGTTGCTCCCGGTTCACCCTGGTATGGCTGAACCGGTAGTGGAATTCAGGCCTGGGTCGCAGAACCGGTGAACTGGTTCCGTCGCCGCTGCTAAGCTGCCACCATTTTGGTTTTTAATGACTGCGTGTGCGCAATTCACTGTAAATTGCGTGCAGAATAATTTACATTGAACAGCATGCACACACGCAATGCATGTCTGGCGTGCACGGGTTGCGAACCAGTGGTAAAACCGGTAGCAACCCACCCCTGCTTACAACCATTTTTCACACTTACGGCCATGGCAGAATCCCCATATTCACATGATTTACATTTGGATGCTTGACAACTGGTACATATTTATGGTGTCCCGGGATCATGTGATCACCTTTTACAACCTTCTGCCTAGCAAAGACAGTGGGTAAACCAGATTCATTGTTACTAATTTAACAACTTCAGTGATTCACTTAACCACTGTGGCAAGAAAAGTCATAAAATGGGGCAAAGCTCACTGAAACAAATTTTCCACTCAACAACCTATGTTTTGAGCTCCATTGTGATTGTACGTTGAGGACTATCTGTATTTTATTCTTTCTTTTTTTTACCCCAGCCTTCTTCAATCTGGTGCCAGGCGTATTAGACTTCAAATCCCAAAATTCCAATAGTACTAGGAAATCTGGGGAATCTGAGGGTTGCAAAAGATGACAGGTAGCCCTTCCTTTTAACGAAGTGACTGGAATTTCCAGCACTAAACTGATGAAGTCATAAAAAGTGACATTCATGACTTCACCTCTTCCACTGATGTCATTAAATGAATCCCATCACACTGTTATGCACAACATTACATGGTTGCAATTTGCAACTTCCAACCTTCCCTACTGACTTTGCTGGCTGGAAGCAGGCATTATGTCAGTCCTTAAGCCATTTGGGGAGCATCTTCACAGCTTCCACAGCAAGACCGATTGGAGCTGTGGGAACTGAGGGACAGGGGTGGGATGCAGCCAGTTCAGACCGGTTTAGGCAAACCAATAGTTTCGGTGAGCAGTTTGCCCCGCCTACCCACCCCTGCTCTTTTCTGTCCTATATTTCTGTTTTTTAGTTCAGCTGATTCACGCAACACAGCAAATTGCCGCACGTCAGCTGTTTTACTCACCATTGCTGACATAGAAGAGAAGTTTTTAAGCTTAAAATGGGTGGTTTTTGAACACTGCGCACGTATGCAAAGCATGTGTTAGGCACGTGCAAAGCACGCATGTGCGCGCTCACTGAACTGTTTGTTAAACCAGTTGCATCCCACTACTGCTGAGAGGGGAGGGGGAGATAGACATAGCTGGGAGTTGTGTAACCAAAATAACATTCTTTCCCGTGGGAGCCAAGGCCGCTCTACCAGGAGTTTGAGGGGCGTGGACAAAAGCCAGCCAGAGTTGGGACTGTGACCTGATTGGACCATGTGATGGACATGTGACCTGGGAGAAAGAACTTTGGGTTTTGATTTGGGTGGAGAAAACCTTGGGCCCTTCAGAGTCGGGTTTTTACCAGCTGTGCCAATATGACATTCCTAATAAATTCATACTTTGAGCATAGTCTAGACCTCAGAGTTTTGATTGCTTTGGGTCTGTTACTTGGAACCCTGACACAGCAATGGTGGCAAATGGAAATTACTTGAATACGGGACACTGCAATGTCATAATCGCCAACTGGCCGACAAGCACCTGGATTGCGCTTGTGGTGACACTGCAACGGCCACAACTGCAAGGTCCTAGTGTAAGTACCACTTGTTCAGCACCATCATTAAGTTAACACAGTTGCTGAACAAGTGTCATTCAGCAAGAACTATCTGTCCAGTACTCTACACTTTATCAGAAAAGGGGTGGACCCAATTCTGGTCCTATCAGCATCCATAACCAACATGGGGGGGAAAACCCCAAAATCTTCAATAATTAACAACATGCTTCTCATACCCGATAGAATGTTTTCCTGCTTCAAGAAAAATGATAATGTCTGTATTTGCTTTTATTCTTCTTTGATTCAACTTAAACATGGATTCACAACATGCCAGTGGCTTGTCCACCCATATTAAAAACAAAACAACCAAAGAATTTAACAGGCAGTTTCCCACAAACCAGCAATATTTTGAGTTGGGAAATAGCAGCCTTTTAACATAAGAGTTAAGCGTACAGCATTAGAAAAAAAAATCTAACAGCATTGTACAACTGATCATTTGTGATTTGTTTCATTCTGCAGTGAAGTCGCATTTCATTTCAACAATAATTTGTTTCTCGTTCTATCTGGGCAGGTGCTTCCCTCCCGCCCTCCAAAAGCAATATTTCAAATGAAATTGGTTTTGAAGGAACTTTTTATGAATATACATAATGGAAAAGGCCCCAATTAAATTCCAACAAAATGTTGCCATTTTCAGTAAACAAAGGTCTCTCGGTAGGGTCAGGTTTTATGCTAAGATACCCGCTTGGAAATTAATTACCACCCTGATACATGTCAAAATACATTTTTGAAAGGGAATAGCATTGAATTGCAAGTGTGTGTTTTATCTGATAGGATACAAAAAAGAAAAGAAATCAAATCAGTATTCTTTACCAACTACATTTATTCAGCGCCCCTTAGAGAAATCAAAAAGTCTTGTTAGTCTTTTCATCTTCTTTTTCTTCTTCTTCTTTTTTTCTCTTTCTCTTTTTTGGTACTAAGTGGAATCTTCACCAAGCCACATGTGTTTGGTGAGCCAGAAAACAAGTACAGAAAACTAGAAAGTGGAAAGTGTTCCCATTTGAAAAAAAGCAGTTGTCATCTCCTCATACAATTTTAGGAGGTGCTACAACAAAGCACAACCCATCCCCTTTTCCCCCAGTATTCTAGAGGAACTGAACTGTGAAAGTTCTTGCAATTATATAACAGCATTTACACAGAGAACAAAAAGTCACTGGGATGTTCTTTCAGCCCGATAGCCATTACCAGCTGGTCAAAACCCATTGAGGAAAATAATTAAAAGAAAAAATAAACTACTGAAGAAATTGGCATTCAGATGCCACCAAACTCCACATTCTTCCACAATTTATATTATGTCGAAGCAAGCAAAATATGTCAGCTGTCAGACCTGGAAGGCATCTTCTACATTTGGGCATTCAGGCCTGCCACATTTTCTACTGTGGGAAACCAGGAGGGGGGATTATATAGAGTATGAGTGATATATAATCAAAATAACATTCTTTCTCAAAAAGGCAAGGTCATCTTGCCTTGCAGCTGCGATGAGGTGACTGGGAGGCATCTCCAGTTTTGAATGGTGCCTGATTGGAGCATGTGATGGACATGTGGGTGCTGGGCAGGGACTTGAACTTTCACTTGGGTGGGGAAAACCTCGAAGCTTTCAGATTTGGGTTTTCACAGATGTGCCAATATGACATCTCTAATAAAATGGAACTTTGAGGAAACTCAAGTCTCATAACCTTCTTTCATTAGAGGTGTTATTTGGAACCCTGACATCACCTCCTTGCTTTATGGTGCCCAATCTTTTCATCCAACTCCCCAAAAGCGGAACGTTGAGGGAGGGGGAAGAGACAGAGAGAAGGAGAAAGGAAAAGAGGAAGAGGGAAAGAGAGAGGGGGAGATAAATTAACTAGAGGTTAAGGCATCAAGCTAGAAATAGAGAGACCAGTGTTAAAGCTGAGTAGTTTTTCTATCCAACTGAGCTAGTTTTTGAGATTGTTTGTGGGAAATTTTTAGCATTTGCAGGGTGTGTTCTTTTGGAATACACTTTCTTTGAGCTACCAAAATTTGGGGCATCTGACAATACATTCTAGTCCTGTCTTAACCATGAAGCCATCTGGGTGACCTTGGCACAGTCCTCTCTCAGCTCTGAGAAGTCATTTCCAAAAACCTGTCAAAATTGCAGGGACTTGTCGGGGAAGTTGCACCAGTAGTCAGTGCTGACTCAAAAAAACGCATATACTGTGCGTTTTTGATATATTTTTTAAAAATAGATTGTATCAAAAATTGCTAGTATCGCCAGTTCAACTTATTCACTGCAAATTAAATAAGATATTTAATCTGGATTTCAGCTGTGGGACAAATTGTACATTTTTAATAAGTCCAGACTGGTTCCTTAATTAGCTACTGTGTTAGGAAAGAAGGAAGATACCCCTAATAAGTTAGCACTTAATTTATCTGAAGCATTTCTATAGCACTCTTTGTTTCACTTTGTATTTGAGGGCCATGTGCAATTCATTCAATCATTTAGAACATGCAGTAATTACTTTTTTGCTACTTAAATGTGTACACAAGTTAAAATCATAGGAAGACTACAATAAGCTTGCCAGGTCAGCCCATTACATAATAGAGAATGTATTCAATGCAACCTCAGGATTAATTGCTGCATATAAACATTTTTCTTATTAATGTTATTCATTTAATCATCCAGTCTCTAAATCATGCTATAACTGAAAGCCACAGAGCAATACGCAATTATTGCAATAGTCAAGTAGTGTGAAGTCTCCAATGCAAATTCTTCCTTGATGAGGCTAATTTTACATTCAGTGAAGGAGCTTTTTTTTTATCACTCCTTATCAATGTTTTTTTTTCCTTAATGAAGTAGAAAAGCAAATTGTGTTACCTCTCTTAATACTGTGCTTTTATAACCTCGGTAGAGTCCTGGGATACCCTAAAAAAAATCAACAAAGAAAACCGATCAGCTACTGCAAATTGTTAGGAAAGGCTGCCAACGTACTGAGGATTACATGATAAGCAGAATAGCTTTACTGAGGATAATGTAATGGCTTCCAGGAAATTGACAATATTGATTATAAACACACTACCTATTGACTTTCTGAGTTTTATCTCACTTTTGAATGAGTTTGTCAGCCAGAACTGCACATTAAAGGGATAATATTTAGTTAGTAACCTAGAAGAACCAAGAGAGAAAGGGATCTATTGCTGACGCTTATAGTCGCTGGCTATTCAAATTACATATCATAAAAGAAAATGTAAACTTTTGACTTATGACTGTAATGGAGCTCAACATTTCCCTCTTAAGTCATGATGGTTGTATATTGAGGCACCCTGGTGACCGACCTGATTTTACAAACTTTTTAGTGGCGGTCGTTAAGCAAGCACCAGGTAATTAAGCAAACAACGCAGTCGTTAAACAAAGGTCACAATCATTAACTGAGTTGCTGCATTACTATGGGCTTCTTTTTTGGTGGGGGAGACCAGCCAAAAAAGGCACCTTGTAAATGTGACATGGAATGCTGCAACCAGCCATAAAGGTCAGCTGGTTGTCAAGTGCCCAAAATGCAGTCATGTGACTGTGTGTGTGTGTGTGTGTGTGTGTGTGTGTGTTGCCATCAAAACTCCGAAACTGGGTCACAAGTAACTTTATTATTATTATTATTATTATTATTAT